GAGCCACAAAGGCCACCAGAAACCGGAACCAACACCCCACCCCCCCAGAGCCACCCAGACCCCCAAAACCCGACCCCAGCCCCATAGCCAGCCCGCCGCCCAGAAAGGCCACAGTTCCCCAGCAAGGATGACCCGGCCAAGAGCGCCCACCCAACTGCCGACAGAGCAAGGGGCACCTCACTCGTCTGATTTGCTCTTAAAAGAAAACATAATTGTAGCAAGAAGTCTTGTGTGTGAGTTATGTATTCACTAGCTAGGACCACACCATGAAGATATGAGATTAAATGTTTGTTGCAGGAACAGGATGAGAGGATGGATGAACTAGAAATGAGGATTGGTCATTTGGAGATACGGTTTGCAAAATAAAGTCTTGGCATCGGGGTGTAGCCTTCAGGAAAATGCCTTTCTATTTTCTTTTCCCAGCTCACTAAGAACACCTCCAGATGGAAACTGAACAAAAGATATGAGGAAGGAAGGATGATGAATATAAGATGYATGAAATGAAACAGGGGGATGAGGGTGATGAGATGAAGAGTGATGAGTTAAGGAGGATGGGGTTGCAGAACCCTAAAAGCCAAGGTGAGCTGAGTATAAATAGGCTGCTTGATAATCTGAGGTGTAGTTTTGGGCGTGGCCCTGCTCCTGAACCTAACATAAACTTTATATAGTTGCTATTTTTCCAGGAAAGCAGGTCATTTAATTTGGAGTTAATCTCTACAGAAAGGCTCTGTGAGAAAATAAGTATTCTTCAGCACAAAGCTGTTCTCAGTAATAAATGAGATAACCAGCTCAGAGGGGTTTGCTGTGTGTTGCAGTAAATGATCCCTGTAGTCCTTGACTCAGAGAAAAACACCTGAAGAGAGCTTTCTAAAGATAAAACTAGAGTTTTTGTCTTAGATTCAATAAAAAATAGAGTCAATATCTGTCCTATGATACAGACACTGTCATTTACAGTGTTGTCAGCAGAAAGGATTTGTATACTTATATTTTTTTCCCCTCTGGATTTTGTTAAAGTGATCAGTTTAWTCATATTTTAAAAGTTAACATGAAAAATGAGTAAATGAAAAACAAATACATGTTAATCTAATCACAGAGTAAAGAATTCCCCCCCGCCTCCCGACCATGACTCATGTTTTCGGTCAAGCTCCACCCACCCGGTGCTCACTGGAACTAAAAACAAACAGGATGGTTCAGTCCGTCATATGTTCTGGGAAATCTCTACTGACTGGTTTCTTTACTCTCCAGACAGATCTGTGACTTTCAGTCCAACACGCATCTATAGGGAACTGTCCTCACTAGTAAGTTTTCTTCTTTTTCCCGTTATTATTTTAATGTTAGTCGGTTTGTGCATTTGGATCCCGATTAGAAACGACGTAGTAGGCTATGTGTAACGTTATTTATTATCAGCCTTCAACTGCAAAACAAACAAAACCATTAACTAATGTTTTGTTGCACAGATAACATGATGAGCAGCTGCTGTGGTCTGATAACTGCCCAGAAGGAACC